AGATGGATTGTTTAAGTTTAGAGTTTGGAGTTAGAGATATTAATATTTGTTTACTTGTAGTTGAATGTTAGCCTAGGTTTGGTTTGGGAAGTCCGGGGGGTGGGGGGATGGGATAAATCATTGTGTAATACTTGTGATGTATTTCTTCTTTTATGATAAAAACAATAAAATTCTATATTGAAAAAAAAAAAAAAAGAATCTCTCCTCTGTACTCTTGATAAATGGAAACTAAGCTGCAGATGTTTCAAATGGTAGGTTCGAAACTGAGATCCAGGGACCATTTGTGTCCATCAGTGGCTCACACAACCTATTCAGGTGGTCAGTAAAAAACGCTGCGGAGTAAGCAAGAATAACTGTACCTGACTTGTGTAATACATCCACTTCAGACATCCACTTTATTAATTTCCCATTCTCAGTTAGAGCTTATTTTTTTGACAATGTGGTCTTAAATCTCCTACTTGTTTAGTTGGTCAATATTAAAGAGAAAAATAAAATGAAATAAAATATGAGCTGTATATATAGTTAACTGTCTTTAATTTTAAATTAAAGTAAAAAAGCAAAGTAAAAAATACTAAATATAACAAAGATATACTGACAGCCAAAAATATTCAAACAATCCAATGAGGGAAAACAGTCCTAAAAACTTGCTTTAAATTGATTCTAGAGCTCATAATGTGACACTTGGGGAGAATCTGAATTGAGCCAGTTCAAACACGCTGGTATGAATGCTTTCTTTGGCCCTTGAAAATCTGGAAAATTGATGGCTTCTTTTATTAATTTCTAACCTTTATTTTTCATTAACAAAACAGTTACAAGATTTACCACGCTGTGAACCACAGATAATTTTGTAGATCTAAACATTTATTCTGATTAATAATTAATTTACAAAAGTTCCCAATTTAAAGGCTAATGGACATCCAATCTTTTTTTTCCTGTGGATAAGAACATATGTATTTAGTCCCTTTCTGTCTCATGCTTCCTAAACAAAAGTCTTGAATGCCATAAACCGAATTTTATAGAATAGTGAAGAATTAAAGTATAATGTTTCTTAAGAAGACAGTTACAAAACATAAGAAGTTTCGATGGTTTATTTTCATAAGTCCGAAGTAGTTTCGTTTACAAGACTTAGTTTAAAGGGTCTTTCAGTGGGAGTTGTCAATAAAATAGACCTAACAAATTAAAATCTTTATTTATTTTCATGTTAAAAAGTTCTGCAGAGGAACACTTGTGATGTGGTGGTCATTGGCTAACTATCTCAGTCATGTAGTACTGTAGCACCATTTTTATCTGGAGAAAAACATAAAATTAACAGAGATTATGTTAATTTTATATTTGCATCTACAGTATATATTGTATGTCTCCCAATCCTTTTTACTGTAAGGCCTAGTGTGAATTATAAACCATGCAGAGAAGGAATAGAACATCTTGAGTAGAAGAATTTAAATTCAAGTTTGTACTTCTTGCTCTGCCGGAGACCCATTACTTCCAAATGGACATAGTATTTAACTAGAATGGCTAAGATTTAGTGATGTGCTATCCTGTGAGATCATTATAAGAAGAAAGGCCAGCACAAAGCATGTGAGATAAGTTTTGCTCAGTATAAACAGGGCTAGGATGAATTTATGTTTACAGGGGTTAAGGAAAGAGATTTGGGCCTCTAGTAAATCAGTTCACTTACAATGCCTACTGCCAAAAACATTAAGTTCATGCTGGGGAGTATCAGAGAAAGAATGCATAACAGGATGACTACAATTATATTAGGCAGGCACACATAAATACAGTTTATATATAAGTATAGTTTTATAAATAAATAAGTTCAGGTCACTGTCATTAAATTGGCTATTATAGAACTGGAAAACATACAAAAAACATACTGTAACAACTTATCAGTGAGAAAATGTTGTGAAAATTGGAGCTGCATGGATTAGAAAAAAAATTGAAGAGATAAATTACAGAAGTATTCAAAACAATCTGTAGTATCAAGAAAGTAGATCAAGAATTTTGTTCCAACAAACCTCAACTGAAGGAGACTGAGGAAGATGGAAAGTATAAGAAAGGGCAGCCAAAATGATTGGATGTAATCCATAGGGATCTTAGCTAAAAAGGACAACAGAAACATTATAGGGTAACTACAATAGTAAAGGTTATGAAAAATGCAGATCAGGAGATGTTTTTCTTCACCTCACACCATGTTAGAACTTGGAATTTCTCACTGAAACTAAATGTAGGGAGACTCAGAAGAAATAAGATTAACGCAAATCGGTTAAATGACCCATTTAGAGATTAGATGATTACTTTATCAATGCCTATTAGTTTTAATTCCTGTATCTTCTGGATATATCATCTACTGGGGAACAACATGACTTGAATAAATAGAACTACTTCCATTGCTTGTGGTTCCTTGAACGTATTTACTTGCCCAATACTATTCTTATGTTCTTAAGGCTATACACCAAAAGAAAGAGAAGCACTGTTATTTGATTAGCTTTACTTAGAGGCCATCTGCATTTAATTCTCCTGAATTGTTAGCTAGTTAACAGCCATTCTTAGAGCTTTTGATGTTAAGAAAAATAATATAATTAATTGGTGGTGCCTAAGCTTTTGGGATTTTCCCCCTTTCTTTTTCTTCTTTTCAATCCATTATCCTTAGGTGCCCTTTGTTTTAGATTAGAAACCTGAGGGCTAAGTCTTTGATCATTTCTTTACCTTGATTTATAGCACCTTCTAATGTCACCCAGCCATTGTTATATTGATACAGTAATAATGAGGTCAGGTTATATATCACTTCAATAGTGGCTGGTTGCTGATAGCAGATGTTGTAGAGCATTGGAGAAGAAATGATCTGTGTTACAACTGACATTTGTAATCCACTTTAGGAATAATTTGCAATAAAGACTTTTCAAAAATATTTAAATAAATGATATGATAAAATTATTACAAACTTACACAACTTAAAAGGGAGTTATTAGATGCATCAAACATAAGCTTTCAGTTGTTTGTAGAAGGAAGGATACTTCTGATGTTGGTGAAAATCTACTGGTGATTACCAGTTGCTGAGGGAATGCAACTAAAGGAATGCTTTTGTTCCCCTTTCCTATATGTTGTTTCCCACTGACAACTGTAAAAACATGATGCTGGACTAAGCTGCTTTTGGTCAATTCAGTATAGCTTTCCTTACGTGTGTTTTGTGTTTTTCCTGCTCTAATCTATTTAAAAAGCAGCCTCTCTAGATAAACATGTTCACAAACATACACCCCATACAAGCATCCTTTATTTACCTCATAGGCATTCTTGATATTCAAAGGTTGGCCAAAAGCTGCCACGTGACCTACAATTCCTTTGTTCCATTCCAAACGGATGCAGTTGTTTGAAGCTTCTTCTAAGGTGGAACCTTCTGCAACATCAAAGAGTCGGCTGATAAGAAACTTCTCATTGGAACTGTCTTCACAGACCAGAAATAGGGAATACCGATCGGCAGCTATGAGTTCATTGATGTGCAAGAAAATTTTATGACAAAGGGCTGTGACATCCAGGTGACTAGAAATATCCTTCACCAGTTCTAAGAGTCTTGAGCATTGATCCCCTGCATTGGTTCCAAGTGTCCGAGATTGGAGAGGCATCTGTTCCTTCTTTTCAGTGCCTGACAAGAAGCTCACTGTTCCAACAGAATCTTTTATAACAATGGGCCTAAGAGGTCTATCAAATTCAGAAGCAGATATCTTCCGAGTCGGTGGTGTGGAATTAGTGCTTTCAGTCCGTGTGGAACAAGCACAAGCTTCACTGTGATGTTTGGTCCCTTCTTTGCACACTGGAATAGTATGAACTCTCTCAGAAAACCATGCATTGACCATCTCTCTGCATAAGAGAAGAATACAATAAATAAGAAGACAAGCTGCAGAAGTAGTGTCAATACTATGAGAAAAGAAGCACATCTGTACAGCCATATCCTCCTTTGCCTCAGGATGTTCTCTATTTAAAACTAATTCAGAGACTGTCTTTAATGCATAACATAAGCTAGCAATATATATGACACCCTCAGCGGTATCTTGCAATGGCCTAGGTAAAAAAACCAGTCATCAAAACATTGTAAGATTTTAGCATCCCATGAGATGTTGTAGATAACCACTGAAAACTTAAAATCTCAAGGTATTTTACATTTTTAACATTATTTTAGCTAACAGAGGAACTGGAGGGCACCAATTTATCAACCCAATTTAGAAACGTGTGCTTCATAAACAGGATACTGTTTTGCATCAAATTGAATGATTACGTTTTTCTATTTAATCTCAGATGCTCATATATACATATCCTTCTTATTCCTGATAAATTGAGAAATATAATAGATTTTAGACATAAAATATAGACAACATATAAAGCAGACCTATCTTTAATTACTCCCCCACTAAACTAAAGATTCAATGCAAAACCTTCCAAATGTTTTTATTTATTTTCATTTTATTTATTTATTTGTATCCTGGCTTTATTATTTTTACAAATAACTCAAGGTAATGAACATATCCAACACTCCTTTTTTCTCCTATTTTCCCCAAAACAACAACCTTGTGAGGAGGATTGGGCCGAGAGAGAGAATGACCAGGCCAAGTTCACCCTGCTGGCTTTCATGGTTAAGGAGGGACTACAACTCATGGTCTTCTGCTTTCTAGCCTACATCAAACTATATTACTATAATATATATTATAAATTGGGATGTATTGCCAGAGTCAACTATTCACATTCTAGTTATTTACTTATTTATTTAGCATACATCTATTTATTCAAGTTGCATGGAAAAATATTGAGGTTCTACTTTCGGAGCTCTGGATTTCAGTATTTGGTACTTCTTTCAGTTAGTCATTGAGCCTATTAAGTTATATTCATATAGTATGTTCAGTGCCCATGAAGTAATGCATATATTGTATTGCTCATTGGTTAGATACCTTTTCATTCCAAAATCCTCCAGATTCTAGTCTTGATGTCTCTTTATAGGATAGGGAAATATTTCTTTGGGGAATATTGTCAATCATTGTAGACAATAATAACGTAAATAAGGTAAGTCCTTTTGTCCTTAGGAAACTGTGATGTTATTGTTTAGTAAGAATATCAACACAAATAAATTAGGATTGAGAAGTGACATAGAATACAAAATGGTATGGCACTACAAAGCTCTGAAGCAGAATGATTATCTTGTTTCATTTCTCACTACTTCATGGTACCTTTAGACTTCTGCTGCAGTGCTCACTAAAGGATCTTCCAGGCCAGGCAGGTCCAGCCCAGGCCATGATAAATCCTCTGCATTTGTTTGGTTAGAAAAGTCAGTTCCAGTTCTTTTTATGCCTCTGGGTTCCCCCCAACCTGCCCTAGTCAATCAGCCACTAGTCCTTTCATGCTGCTTGTTCCCTGGGAAAAGACCTTGACACCTTCTTCAGGGAAATGATGTAGTAGAAAACTGAAAGATGCCTTCTCCCACAGCACTATCATAAGTATTTTCAGAAAGGGTTGCACTGAAAATGCTCAGTCTCGAACCCTTGGCATAAACTATGTATGTCCAAGCTAAGCAGCTTCAATGAAAGCTGTGTAATCCCAAAGCAAACCAATCTGACAGCATTGGACAAGAAGGCAGAAAACAGCCTTCTCGTGCAGCAAAGACCCACATTTGTTAAGATGAAATGGTAGGTTTTTTGCTATGGCAAAGTGAATCAGATCACCACCACGGCTTGAATCACTTTGTTAAAGTGAACCTTTGTCCTTTTGCACAGGTCTACTAGATTTCACTTGGACAAGAGTGAAAACAAGGAGGAGACGTGAAATGGTGTTATTATGCTGGACAGAAAGTTTGGCTGAACAGTTTTTCTGTACACACGTCAACATTTTGCTAAAAAATCTTTTTATAAAAATGAATTCAAAAGAGTCACAGCACTGAATTATACAAGAAAAAACCCTTAGTGATGGCTCTATGGAAAAGCCTGATAGAGGGTTTGAATGTGAATTCAGAAGGGAAAGATGATAGTTTACATACAGATGTATGTCTTTTTGCTTTAATATGTATGCTAAGCATACATACTAAAGCTATTTCCGGAATTTGTCATATTTTCAGAATAAAGTACAACTGATTGCTCTCATGGGATTGAATTTGCTTCTTCTCAAAGTACAGGTCTTGGAATTCAGTAATGTTACAAGGTCTGATTGTACAGAGCTTTATTTTTTTTACAGATGGTGTACCAATGATTGCCAACTTTGCAGATTATAGTTAGATATAAACTTCTATGGAAATTAAAAGATTATGGTTTGTTAGGGGCAGAGAGTAGTACTGATGCCCAAGCTTTCTAGAGCTGAGTTCTAGTTCATTTGTGCCAAATTTTAGGGATGAATGTGGATAGGAATATGATGCTCACCAGAGATGGGTTTTTTTTCTTCTTATAAGACAATAAATCATCCTCTGCTTTCCTCTTTCTAATATAAAATGCTATAACCAAACATGATCCTTGTCTTTGTAAATATGAAGATACTCAACTGATACAGTATGACTATGCAGAGAGAAAGCTAGAAGAGAATTCTAATATTTGGGAAGGAACCTATATAGGCCAGTAATTATGGTACCAAAAACACTATTCACCGATTATAACAAAAAGAATATGTTGTGTTTATGAATATGTATATGTATTCTCCCTGAAATTAGGAAAATAAAATCAAGTGGGGCTGGAGAGCCCCTAATACTCTTCCCAATTTGTAATGCGTCAAACTAAACTAGATTAATATGGATTTTTCCTGTTTTTTCCTCACATAACAAACTATTTTTAAAATTGAGCCAAGTATTAATCAACTTGATACTTTCAACTTTCTCTGCTTGGTATTATCCAGCTATGGTTAATTTACAGCCAGAAAAATCAGTCTGACTTAAACATAACCCATACATAATTACAAACTTTACAAAAACAAAAGAATAAAGAAAATCTGTCTTTTCACTAGGAAATCTAATACATGCCTACTCATAATATATCTTGCCGAGTTCAGTGGAGTTTATTCCATTATATCAATATGGAGAATTCTAGCTTTAACCAGATGTTTTCCAGTGGGAAAAGCTGACATATTCCACTCCCTAGAGTGTTGACATTTATATAAATGTCATTTTAACTCTAATTTTTAAATAAATTGATTTTAGGAATAAAAACAAAATATTTTTCCCAGTATGCTATTCCTTTCTCATGATAGCTCAGTCCAGCTTTATAGCAACAAGGCTTATAATCAGTAGTGGGATTCAAATATGTGAACAACCAGTTCTCTGTGTGGATGCTGCTTCTAGAAGTCCATTCTGGGCCTGGCAACAAAAAATTAGCTACTGGTTCTACCGAAGTGGTGCGAACCGGCTGAATCCTACCCACTGCTTATAATTAGGCAGTACCTATTAACAATTAGTAATAAGGGACACCAAAATCTGACTGAAATTTGGGAGATCTGCTTAGTGCATAGCAAATGTAACACTGGATTTTTCTTTTAACACAGAGACTCTATTCTTAATCCAACAGCAGCAAAACATTAAAAGTTTAGAACTAATGGCATACTGGATAGCAATGGTCACTTTGCTCAATTCACTACTAGGTAAAGATCTTCAAAAAGTCCTTTTAGTCTTTCTGATTTAAAAGGGCCTTTTACTGTATTCTCTTGTTGTTGGTTTAAATTTAGTTTAAATTTAAACTAAATATGGTTTTTGAAATCTGCTTCAGACTTTATGCTATCTTCTTATTTTATTATTTATTTTGCATGGTTTATAGTCCACTCTATAAAAAAGCCTCCAAGCAAGTTACAGTATGCTACAATGATAAACTCAACAACATAAAAAGATCAAAAGATCAAAACAATAATAATAATGATGTCCATTTTCCTAAGATGGTCACCAGTAAACCTTACCTAGTATTGAAAGTTCAATGAAATAAAATTCTCTTGAAAAATCTTGTACAAATGAAAGAGCTTTACATTCCATAACATGGAGATAAAGAGTTATTGTTTTAATTGTGTCCTGCTCACTTCATAGCAGAGAGAGACTCTTGGACCTTCCTGAGATGTTCTCACCAGATGCAGACTCAATTCTGGCAAGATAGGGCTTGATGTTACCAGGTACTCATTTGTTTAGTCTTCATAGGTTGTTACCAATTGTTAATAAACAGCACAGTGACTTAATGATAGAATTAATCCTGCCATGATTGAATTGATCCATCAGCAGTTCCGCTCCCACCTTCCGGACCAGCTGCAGTGGTGGGATTCAAATATGTGAACAACTGGTTCTCTGTGTGAATGCCGCTTCCGGAAGTCTATTCTGGGCCTGGGAAAGAAAAAATTAGCTACTGGTTCTGCCGAAATGGTGCGAACTGGCTGAATCCCACCACTGACCAGCTGTAGCTTGGAAATCATTGCTAAAGGTGGATGCCCTTCATAAAGCAATTTCCAGTAAGCCAACCAAGTGGTGATCAAAGCATGAGTTACTCACACCAGAACATTTTGGTTTAAGAAGGATTATCACTGGCTACAGCTTCCACCTGCTGTTTAAGCATTAGCTATAAGTCCAAGATAATCTCCCAAACCATGCACAAACTTCTTCAGGGGATCATAGCCTGGTACACAGAAAGTATTGGAACCAATATTCCTGGGTATTTACTGATGTACAACAGCTCAGACCTAGAGAGATTTAATCTGAAATTATTTTACTCTCTCTGTTAAGTATAACAAAATAAAATAACTAAATAAAATAACTAAAATAACATATCATAGGATTAGCTATACAAGTATTACAAACAGACATATTTTTGTAAATACTTAGCATTCCAATATCACAGCCTAAGAAGCCCAATATATAATCTCTTCACCAAAAGAGAATTTGATTATTTTGTGTCTGTTTTCTTCCTATCTTCTGCAGATGAAACAGGAAGAAGTCAAAAGCATGACATGGTAAACGGCATCAGCCACATTGCACTGTGATTTGTGTTTGACAATATACACAAAAACATTCAAACAAGGAAGCAACTGAAGCTTTTATTTAATTTAAGACAACATTAAAAATTGACAGTTGCCCCAATGGATATTACATTAACCAGAGTCAAATTACAGTCCGTACTAAATTATTTTTGTATAAAATTATCAATTTTTGTTTCTTGCCAGCTTTTATTTTTAGTTAAGGCAAACAGTATGATGTTTGTTAAAGTAAGAACCAAAAAGGTGCCCTTGTGTTAAATTGTTATTCTTGGCCACCTAGCAAGTTAGCTTATACGGCTTAAGATCTAATTATGAAGAATGCAAGAATAGTAGTTTAGCAATATTAAGGATTTCTCATTGTCAGTATTGAGACAAACGTAGTAAAACCACAGAAACAGAGAGGTCAAGACTGCAAACAAAATAAGCAGATTTATTTACTCTTCTATTTTTATTGCCTTCTGATCCCATGCTCAAAATATCAGAAAAGTAAAACAAAGCTTAAGAGTTACCAAACAGAAGTTATTCTGAGAGGGAATGATGAATCTTGAGGCTGGAAAAGTTTTTTTTTTCTTATTTTAACTCTAGTTTATTTCAACACTGTTCCTTAGGAGTGGACAATCCATGGCCTATGGGCTGAATACAAGGATTTGGCTTCCAGGATCCCTCTCTCAAGGCTGGGAAAGATTGATCTAGGCCAGCATGAGCTAATCTCAAGAGATATACATTAATAGAATCAAGCATTTATGTATGTGCATTTATGAAACTAGCTTTCAGGCACAGGCCAGCCTTTTTTTTCTGGAATTAAAAAATCCGTTCAGTGTGGCTTATTAGAACTTATGAAACATTTGTCCAACTGTCAAAGCAGAAGGAAGAATCTGCTGTGAAACTTGTTAGCAGGACCATATTTGCTTCTCTTGTGTCATCAATAGACCCTCTTAGCATAAATGTGTTACTCAATCTAGATCCACCTTTAAATCTTCTGATGATTTTTTTAAAAAATAAACATATACCATTCTATAGATTTATTCTGAATCCAGATTTATAGTGGAAGAGGAACAGTTATTATACTACAGAGCAATTCTGCTGTAATTTGGGTTTTTTGCTGGCTAGAGATCATTAAACAGATTAATTAGAACTTTGGGGATTGAAGAAGGAAGAATACAGCCAAATCAAATCTTATTGCAAGTCTGAACTAAAAATAGTCACTTTTTTATCTAATAGTTTTTAGTCTCTTGTTTCATTTAGAAACTGCTGTGGACAAACCTACACAAAAGATGGTGGAAACGATAGGATTCAAATATCTATCAGTTGTACCCTGGCCAAGTCACAGTCTTTTAGCCCAATCTACTTCACATGTTTATTTAAACACCAGTCTCAACCTTATAGGTTTTTTTTAGAAACAAACTAAGAAGTGAACATGCACAATACCCAAACAGAAGTAATTCCTTAGACAAAATTGCAGGAATTTTTCCACCTGTTTGTCACGTGTGAAAAAAGCATGTGAGCATAGAAACCATTGTCAAATATTATTATTTGGAAGGCATATAAAACTGATAGAGATCTTTTGCATATAGACACGTTCGATCTTTTGCATATTAGACAGAAGTCACGAATGATGAGCTGCACAGATGCTACATTTGGCTGGAAAATTTCTTTTCCATCATGAAGATTATTCCCGCTGAATGTAAAATTATATATATGTACATTAAACATCATACAAATTCACAAAGTAACACATAGTTTGTACAAATCTTTCATTCTGCAAATGTGTCTTTCTCCTAATACTAACACCCTGCAACTCACCCCTTGAAAACGTTATAACATTTAAGTTACAAAACACTTAAACTTTAAATAACCCCTTAAAATAGCATCACTATCCCCTGGGTAACTGGTTTCTTAACCAACTACTTGATACTCTCAGAATTCCAAACCTTATTGCATACATATGCTGTATTTTAAAATCTCTTTGTACTAGCATATTGTTAAAAAAAATGGTAAAATTAGGATGTTGCATAATTACTTATTATCACTAAAGTTTCTAACTTGACATCTTCAGTACTAAATGTTCTTAATCTTTAATTCTCCAGTACTAAGATAAGGAATTACTCATTTTCTTATTAAAAAGAGATTGAATTCTGAATCAGATATTATTTCTTTCAAAGTTTTACAAAAGAAAAGTGGTATTTTAGGAATATTTCCCTTTAAAGATTTCAGGATACAAACTTTTATCAAAGCATTCTGAATACTTTTGAAAAAGTGGGGCATAATTCCTTCTAGGTTTTAAGTACATTAATGCTGAATATTGTCATTCACGAATTTATTTTGAGAGCCTAAATCCCAATAATCATCTGATCACAGCTTTTTATATTTACAGTACTGCACATACACAATCTCTTTTGAATGTGTACCTCTGAAAAGTGCCATGTACAGTATATTTATATAATCTGAACTTTAGTACAACTCCGATATCAATGCAATCCCAACTCTCCCTTATAAAAATAAAGCTTTGTGAAAACTAAGTATGACCATGTGGATTATCATAACAGCCAAAAACTAAATCTTAAAGCTGTAACAGAATAAAGCAGCACTGAACTACACTCTTTCCCTCTTCTTTTTATTTCAGATACAAAATGAAATTTAGCATTCCTTTGAACTCTTAGGCAGATCAATGATATTTTTCCCTGTTTCAACAGGTATAAATTTGCAAAATGAGAGTTAAAGTTTTGATTTCCATCAAACTTACTCTCCTCTTAAAAACAAACAAGCAAGACCTTGCTGAATGCACAAAGTACAGTTTCAGCCTAATTTCAAACAGTCCAGAGAGTAAAAACTGAGGCCTATCACATATATGGCATTGTGTTTTGTGTAACCTCCACCCCATTACAAATCTTTCTTAAAAACATATAATGATTTATGGCCTTAAAAATTATATATTTATGATCCTAACTTTAAAAAGAAATCAACCTAATTCCAAGTATACATAGGTGTATCTATTTGCTCAGACTGCTTTTAGATTCTTATACTGGAAACTGGTATGGAACACAATAAAATTACAAACATAAGATTGTTATCCACACACTTTCACATGACAGTAAATGATATTAAAGGATTTGTATTCAAGGAGTAATACATACAGTATAACTGATATGTGAAGTTATTTATTTGAAACACTGATATTTCTCAAAACTGGTATAAATGGAACTTCTCTGATTGTCACCAATAAATACATTTTTAAAAGAATGGCTTATATACACTGCTGCTTGTACATGTTAAAAAATACTAGCACAAATACAAAATTTGACACTTGATTCTGTTGTATAACAGTATAAGGTACACCAAAGTGGTATAATTACAGCTAATAATAAACATTTTTCAGTTCAAGTTATCTTTTAGGCAATCCATAGATTAGATGAATTTATTACATTACCTTATTGCCATTATTGCATATACTGGAAGAACTGTGAAAATGTGCCTATTTTTAGAAGAAAAGATATCTATAGTATTTAATATTCATTCCATACAGCTGTAATAACCTAATTAAATATGACAAGTGTGTCCATGAAATTCAATGATTAAAAAATATTCCTCATTAATGAGCTAACATTTCATCAATTAATATACCAATCAAACTTTGCTACCCTAGCTATTATGCATATACTAATAATAGCCATTGCCACATAAACTACATAATATTCTTTGGGATATAGCAACACTGTAGGCATCAAAAGATATGTATAGACAGCATATATACTTATAATAGGGTGCACTTCATATTTAACTGACATCACATCCAAACAAAATGCCTTTTCATGTTTGTGGTTATAGCTTGCAAATGTTATCATTTATAATATGTACTATTGTGCATGAAACTAAGGCTCTGGAACATGCAGCAATGACAAAGAAATGCATGTCTACATTCTAGCTTGTCACGAATTATTAATTTTTAGATGGCATGCTACTCAGTTTCGATTAATGTATTTTTAAAAGCATATATATGACATTCTTACCACAAAACACCAGCATTTTGCAAGGCTGGTTTCAAGTATTTTCATCCTTTTCCTCTTGCTCAGTTTAATTACCCCTCTCTCCAATACCAAATCCTATGGGACAGTAACTCCCACTGTATCTGTTATATTTCCCTTCAATATATTTTAAATGCTATGGGCTGGGAGAAACCCCAAATTTGGGTTGGGAGAAACCCCAAATTATATACAAGAGGACAGGTTCCTAAATAAGTAAAGTGCTGTAGGATAAGTGTGATACCTATGACAGGTTTTGTTCCATTCTGGGTTTTTGTTTGATATCCCTCTTAGAGAGAGAAGAGGCCATACAACTTGCTTCGATTTTGTTTTCCTTTTCAAAGCATGGGAAAAGGGTAAAGACTTCGTTAGCCGCAGATGGGCTTCGGGAAGGCAAGTGACCCGTGCAACCTGCGAGTCAATAATTAATGGGAACCTCTCGTCTTACACCATCTCAGATGGAGAGGCACATTGGCGTCAAACTCATTCAAACCCCATCCATCTCCATGAAGTGGTCGGGAAAGCCAAGGGGGCAGGAGCAGATGGTGGCAGCCGCTGGAGAGAGGGGGAGCCTAGAGACAAGTCCGGAGGCGATCAGAAAATGGGCTTCGCTACGGCCGGAGGACTTTATTTTGGTTTGCCGCGCTGACCTCTCCCCGCCAAGCCACCCAGGAGCGTTGCTCTCTTTGCGCCGCCTTAACCCGCTTTCTTTCTAACGAAAACTATTCTGCACTGAAACCTGACTCCCTTCCTAAAAATAGTTGAAGTCGCGCGAGCAAAATCCTCAGCTCGAAAGTACCTCGTTTTGTCTCCAAAAGGCAGCATGTCCAACCTAGAGATAAAAGAAATCCAGGCGAGCTCCTTTGATCTCCGCTTTGGGTCTCCAAGAAACTCTACCCGAGCCCTCTTCCCCGTCCCCCAAACCCCACCCTCGGCTGATAACTTCTTGCCCTGGCCTACTTGGAGCCGCTACGGTGCAGCGCTGCCTCCTGGCGGCGGAGGGAGGCAGCGCCTCTTTCGCAAACGGCTACTTTCGGGATCAGCCCCCTCACCCTACCCCCCCACCCCACCCCCACCCCGGAGCTGAGCTCCCAAAAGT